TGGATCGGGCTTGATCGATCCCGAGAAGGCGTGCGATTTCAGCCAGCAGGTAAGGAAAGGTAAGAGAGTTCTGGCAGGCCGCGTGAACAACGCCCGCAAGAGGTCTCATCGGTTCCGAGCCCTTCGTCACCACAGGCGCGGGCTCTCTAGAGTGTTCCGAGCTGGAGGCCTTGCGTCGGCCTCGTACGGGGTCAGGGTTTGTGGCATGAGCGACACAGATCTCTCTAACCTCCGAGCGGTATCGGCCTTCGCCCTCTTTGGCAAGGCCAAGGGTAGGTCCAGGGCGGTGCAGTACCTGTTGCACGACCCGCCCGACCTCGACCCAGCGTACCTGATAAACACCCTACCCCTCGCGACGTGGCTCCAGGCTCTCCATGAAGGTTGGGCTCCTCAGGGCGTTATGCAGACTATTGTTGAGGCTGGATTGTCCAAGATCAGTCTGGGATGGGCTACTGTGTGTGGCCCAGGGGGAGCTGTGGTTCAGACGTTGCGTCGTCTTGGGTGGCAAACCAGGTCTTTCAAGCTTTGGGAGGATCCTCAAGGGCTCGTGGTGGGCCTCGAGAAGGTTAGTATCAAGACCCTCAAAGTACTTATCCACAGGGGCCTTAAAAGGCACCAGGAGCTGCAGGCGGCCAGACACATGGGCTGGAATGGGACCCCCTTCTTGGACCCGATCAAGGCAGAGCTGCAAGTTCTTCGGGCCAGAGGTCATCCTGTTTCTGCAGATCTCGTTGCAATGCACATGTCAGGTGGGCTGTGGACGCAGTCCAAGCTCTACGAAGAGCGTTATTCCCTGTCGTCAGCCTGCAGGTGGTGCGGACACCCGGCAGGCTCGATATCCCACAGACTTTACGGATGCGACGGCTTAGAGGCATGGCGTCGTGATCAAGGTTATGATGATGTCGTGTCGGTCGGTCGGGAGTTCCCTGGCAACTGCTTAGTCGACTTCGGGGTCACAGACAGTATGAGAGACGCCATGCCTCCGCCCTTGCAAGATCACGAATGCTCTCAGCGCGGTCTCCTAGGATGCGGTTACCTCAGCGAAGAGATCTTTATAGACGGCTCGGGGGTCAACCCAGATGTGGAGTGGATGACGAGGGCAGGATGGGCGGTCGTATCTCTCCAGCGCGGCAGCGAGCAAGTGTCATCGGTGGCCTACGGGCCAGTGCCAGGGCCTGTGCAGAGCGCGGGCATGGCAGAGCACAACGCGTTCTACATGGCACTATGTCTCGTGGGGCCCAGGGCGACCATTATCACGGACCACAAGAACCTCCTAATAGGTCTCCAGAACGGCCCCGAGAAGATGTGTAGAGTTTCAGAACCGTATGGGGAAGTCTGGAGTCTAATATTTTGGAAATTGAATGACGTGGGGACGGAGAATGTGAATCTCCAGTGGATGCCGTCTCACAAAAGCAGAGCGTGGCTCAGGAAAAACAGCTTTTCGGACTCCTGGTGCTCTGGGAACTGGCAGGCCGACAAGTATTCGAGGCGGGGGGCTCTAGAGCATCCTGCAGTCCCCCAGATGGATCAAAGGATCCAGGCGGCCAAGGTTTTCGGTAGGCAAGTCACGAGGCTCCTGGCAGACACTCTGAGGCGCCTGAGTACCTTAGGATTTCCAGATGTGGACAAGGTCCCCAGGGCCACAAAGATCCCCAGGCCGAACCAGATTTCAGTCGATGAACCCGTGTGCGTGTTGAAACTCACCACGGGGGATCGTGGCCACCTGCTGGACAACGCTGATGGCAGGTGGGGTTGCAGAATTTGCGGGGTGAATGCGGCTCGTCGGAGTGCAGTCATCCAGAACGAGTGTCCAGGCAAGCCGAGGGTGCTTGCGCGGACGCACGAGTCGCACCGCATGTGGGTGCTGGGCTCGGACCTTCATTTCTGTATGCAGTGCGGTTGCCACGCGCGGAGGCAGGTCAAGGACCTGGCCGCGCGCTGCCATCGTGTTGCAGGGACTGGGGAGATAGGGGCCTTGAAGTACATGCGCCAGGGCATAGACCCCACATCCAAGGTGTTGGTGGGGCGCCCCTTCCCAGTCAGGAGGAGGTGCAGGAGGAGGAGGAGGAGGGGGAGGAGGAGGGGAAGGGGGAGGAGGAGGGGAAGGGGAGCCGATGACCGGCTCGCGGCGCCGAGAGCGCGCTGCACGCCGCAGGCCTCGGGGGGGGGCGGGAGTGGGGAGGAGGAGCCCAGACGTCTCGAGTAAGAGATCGACTGAATCATAGATTTACCCCAACGTTGGTTTTCTTCCCAGAATCCACGAATCGCCGTGGAGGACACGCCGAGGCGGGGAGCTATCCAGAACCACTCGAGTAGGATATCGACTGCAGAGATCATCTTTCCCCACATCGCTTTTTACGCAGAACCTGCGAACGCACACACACGCATCTATATATGCATAACTTTTGTAGATCTACCACGACTTGACGTACTCGTTGTAGACTCGGCGAACACTGCAAGTTTTTGGGTGCAGCAATTCTGTGGTCGATCTCCTGCTCGG